CATATATATGTTCATGAACATATATATGAATGTATATAAATATATATAAAAATATATAAAAATATATATAATATATATTTAAAATATATTTAAAAATATATAAATTATATATAAATATATATATATAAAACACACACACATATATATATATACATACATATATATATATATATATATATAAAAATATATATATAATTAGCATTAATTCCCAGCGCGGCTCTCAGGGGGTTTTTTCCCGCTCCGACCCCGCCCCGCAGATTATTTGAAATTTTATTTATTTTATTTTATTTTTTTTTTCCTAGAAAATACATTTTTAACCCGATCCGGATTTGGGGGAGTCGAGGGCGGAGAGAGAACGATCGCGGCTCCAGACTCCACAATTCCATGGAAAACGGGAATTCTTCCCTTGGGGGGGTTCGGGGAAAACCCCCCCCGTGTGCGGGAATCCTGCGAACCCCCCCCCGAGATGCTCCGGGGGGGACAAATCCCCCTTAAATCAGCTTTTTGGGGGGTTATTTTGGGGGGTAAAGGCTCTAAAACCTGAATATTTTCGGGGCGAGAAGGACCCCCCCTCCTTTGCTCCGCGGGGAAGTCAACAAAAAAAGCGCAGTTAACCAAAAAAAAAACCCCACAACAACAAAACCCGCTAAAAACCCAAGTAAAACAAACATCGCTTTTAGCAACAATTCGCCATCTCCAAGAAAAACAGCGCCTCGTAGATATAAAACGCGCTCGACCTTAAAAATATCAAATATCCCTTTTTTTTTCCCCCTTATTTTTGCTTTTTTGGAATTAAAAAAAAGGAAAAAAAAATAAAGAAAGAAGAAATCCGAACGGGCCGCGTGTGCGCGAATGTTTTCTTTAAAATCCTGCGCTCGTTCTTCTCGCCCTCCCTTTTCCCTTTCCAGGGATTTTATTTTTTTCAGGGGTTTTTTTTGTGTTTTCGGGGAGCCGATTTTTGAAGGAGAAAAAAAAAAAAAAAAACAAAAAAAAAAAAAGAAAAAACCAACAAAACAAAACTAGAAATCCCCGAGCGGGCCGCGAGTATTTTCTGTTGGGAAGGAGGAGGAGGAAAAGAAAAACACACTA